CACACAACCATCTCTAGCGTTTACAGAGAAAATAATCAGTGAGCGGCAAAAATGCTTGGTTGATGCCAGAGGTCAGAGATGAACGGTCAGAGAGCGTGATTGGAAGGCAACAGTAACGAGAAGAAAAAAACAAAACAAAAAACTTGTTACAACCAAGGCTTGCAGGAGGACATCTCTGAAAGCACAACACTTCAACCACTGAAGCAGATCGGCTACACTGGCTGCCACTCCTGTCAGCTAAGAACAGGAAACCGAGTCTATAATTCACACAGGCTCACCAAATTTGGACAACAGAAGAAGACAGTCATGACATTTGTTTGTTAGGGTCAAAATGTGGCAAAAACAAAATGAAAGCATTGATCCATCCTGTCTTATAACGGTGGTTCAGTGGTGGGAGATATTTTCTTGGTAAACTCCAGAGCTCTTAGTACCCCAACTGAGCATCTTTTAAACACCACAGCCTGAGTATTGTTGATCACATCTATCCTTTAAAGACCACAGTGTGCCTACTGTATCTTCTGATGGCTGCAATAAGCAGCCATCAGAAGCTTTGAGCTTTGCTAATCACAAACCTCAAATCACCTCAAACATGACAATGAGTTCACTGTAGTCAAATGGCATCCGCAGTCACCAGATCTGAATCCAACACAACACCTTTGGAATGACAAATCTGCAGCAAATGTGTGATGCTGTATTGTCGTGTACGTTTAAAGTGTCTGCCAAATGGACTGGATCACCCAAAACATGCTGAAGAAATAATTCGATTAATTTCTGATGTTAACGTTGAGAGGAAAAAGGCATTTACATTTACAGCATCACTTAATGAGCACTTGTGCACTTAGATATTGCTGCTGACACAGCTTAGCTGACGACTTTAACTCACTAAATCACCTACTGCTAATTTGCTAATTTGCTAATTAGCAGTAGCCTATTGAACTTTTCTCTCTCCGTTGTCCTTTAAGGGGGAACGCTGCACACGCTGTCTGGTACCTGCTAAGCACACTGAGAGGACTTGTGACGTGATGTGAACTGAATTAAGGAAACAATATTCCAGGTAGTTTTGGGATATAGTCAGTTCGAGTACGGACAAAATAAAACATACCGTGGAAAATGCACATGTGTGGAAAAAAGACATAAAACACAACAATTAACTTCAAGCGGTGTTACCAGGATGGATATTCTATCTGTATAAAAATGAATCTCAAGGTAACATTTTATAGTAAATAGTAAATTGAAGGGTTTTTTAATGTTAAACAATATAATTGTAATCCAATTACAATCCATGAAAGAGTGCACCAGTAAGGAGGGCAATTCATGAATAACTGATGTGTCATAAATTACAATCTTTTTTATTAAAAAATTAAAGCCACATAAATGTGAACATTAATAATGAGCCAGCCTTAATTCTCTGCACAGTTACATAAAAGATTTCATTCAACTGTTTCAGTGTTTTAAATCTGAACAACCAAGTTCAAGTTGATGCAAGATTTTATTAATAATAACATGATTTTTGTACAATATGAAAAGATACTGTTCATTCTGATTAGAGGAGGGAATACTCACAGGCATTCCCCGGGGTCCTGCTGGGCCTGGAGGTCCTGTTTCTCCCTGATGAGAAAAAAATAAAAAGAGCCAGTGCCAAAGATCAGCTATTACAGCCACATCTTTACTCATCACTGCTTTTTTTTTTTCATTATATACTGTGTGTTTGTGTGTACGTTGCATGTGTGGGCAGACCACCCATCTGATTCATGCATGTGACCTACCCGCAGTCCTGGCTTCCCATCTTTTCCATCAATTCCGTCAATGCCACGGGGGCCCTTTTAATATTGCAAGATAAGAGAGGACAGATAAGTACTCATAACAGCATACAGTTCACAGGTAGGTCAGAAGGGGTCATACTTAGATTATACAGTGCAAAAAATAAAAAATAAATAATGCACATACCATCAACCCTGGCGACCCGGTTGAACCGGGTGGTCCACTTGGTCCTTGAGGGCCTTGAGTGCCGTCGTTGCCCTAAAAGTAGAGATTTTCAGTCCAATTTGAAGTGCGAACAAAAACTGAAACAGCTAAATGTGTGTTTTGTACTCACTTTTTCCCCTTTGAGCCCTTGAAGTCCTTCCCTTCCAGTTTTGCCGGCAGGACCTGGTGGTCCCTAAATTCATACACAGTGATACAGAAAGTCTCAACAGTAACATCAAGCACAAATGGCTGCTTTAGTGGACTGAAAGCATTTACATACAGGTGGTCCTGGGAAGCCTGGTTGTCCTTGGAAGCCCTTAAAATATAAAGAGAAACACACTGGTAATCGGTAGTACTGGATCTGTTTGTTAGGTCTATGTGTCTTTGTGTTTTATAGTGCATACCTGATCCCCCTTAGCACCAGCAGGCCCTGCTGGTCCACTGTCTCCTTTAATGCCCTACAGACGCACAATGTTCACCCAGTTATTAAACTTAGAAATCATAAATGAAAAAGCCGGATCCTAAATATTGACAAGCTAAATTTACAATGAAATGCTGACCGGCAATCCAGCTTGTCCTTGATATCCAGGGTTACCAGGAGGCCCCTGCAAAAGGAAGGAAAGTTTTAGCCGATATATATCCAACACAAGCACGCAGGACAGTGTTGATGCAATCCCTTACTGATTCTCCTGTTAGGCCAGCAGTTCCTGGGCTTCCACGTTCGCCCTTGAGTCCCTGATAAATAAATAAAGGCAGAAAATTAGTGTCTGCTGACATGTCAGTATCACCCCCCAGCTGTCAGGATGATGTCAGTGCTACCGTTTCTTCATAATCAAGCAGGCAGAGTGACCTACAGGCAGTCCAGGAGGGCCCATGGTTCCTGGGTACCCAGGCGTCCCTGAAGGACCCTAAAGTAGAGATCACAGAATCAATCAAATATGGACAGCACTTATTTTTTCTCCATGCTATAATGTGAGAATGATTGTGTGATACTTGCCTGATCACCCTTCATTCCCGGGAGGCCATCTGACCCTCGCTCACCCTGTTGACCCTGAATGTGACAGGAGGGAAGAAGGATTAGAAAATGAAGAAGAGGATGTGATATGTACGTCTGCGAGAGAGGCTCCCCTGGCAGAAATAAAAGTGACAGGGTAAGTCAATATCAAAGAGTGGAAAAGGCTAACTAGCTTGGATCACATCCCCATGAGACTCCCTATTTGATTTTGTCCTCGGCTCTATACCTCCATGAGGCTTTAGCTCTGAGGTGGTGACACCCGGGAGAAAATCATTATGAATACATATATAAAGGGATTTCTATGGAACTTTGTAAAATTTACTCAACATATTATCCAGACACTTGCCTTGAAATCCCATCCTCCATGTTTCAGGTGGAAATTTGAACTTACATAAGCTTTTAGACACCAGCTGTAGCACATTAAAAAAAACAAACAAATAGCTGACACCAGCAACAATAAAATGACATGTTATGAACAACAGGAAATCATAGAAAAGCTATATTTCGTTATCTGTTGACATTTGAAATCAAAGTATTTCTTGGTCGTTTTATTCTCTATTAGTACAGGTTTACATGACTCGCAATAATCTATTCAAAATAATTGCATTCAGACCGATATACTAGCCGATATTAGCGATTTGCTAATATCAACATCAACATTTTTAAAGACTGACAAATAAAAATTAAAAAGTAAAGACGAACTAAACACTCTTCAACCATGGTATTAGTTATGATGTTGCGTATTTTGTCCACCAGAGGTTACTCTCCACCTTCCCTGTATGTATGGTTGGAACGTCACAAACACAACAACCAGCTGATGCCAGTTGAGCATAAAGGAGTAATCCACAACTTGTGTGACAGAAAAACAAGATTATTTTGAAAATTCATGTTATTTTTGCAAGAACTCATAAATAACTAAGAATACCAAATCTCAGTGAAAACTGTTAATTTTTAGGTCTGAGAGGGAAAAAATATCAGCCGATATATCGATTTGAAATGATCAAATATCGGTATTGATCTTAAAAACCATTTATCAATTGGGCTCTAAAAATAACCCATATTTATCTTATAGCTTGTGCAGCCCACTAAGCTCATTTTCCATCAGAAACAAGCTCTATTAGTATTTCTTTCTTTAAGCTAACTTTCTTTTGATTGGCTACCCTATATGTGGGGTCGAGCTGTGGGGTCGAGCTGTGGGGTCAAGCTGCATGCCTAAGACGACCGCCTCTTTGACATCACACAGATCCAACGGAAGACTCCAGAATCTCAAGTCTGTACTTTTGCTTCAGTGCGATTAATGAATACACACTGCTCTCATTGCTTACTGTACATTTAATATGAGAGAACTCATGATCGGTTATTACACAGTGTCTGACAGTTCGACAGCAGGGATTTCCTTTACCTTGGCAAAATAGACAGTTTGTAAAGCAAATGGTCAGAAATGAGAGAAAACTACTTCACGATTAGGCAACTGCCTGATTACCTTTAGTTTATACTCTGATCGTGCTTACCGCTGTTCATAATCTACACCTGCAAAAGCCTACATCGAGCCAAGACGAAACCCTGTGATTGGTTTCCCGTCATTGTCAGGAACTTCTTAACTCCTGAATAAGCAGCGTTTTCAACAGCAGGGTAACACCACTCTCCCTCCCTCTCACAAACAACACAAACAGACACACTGCTGCACACAGCAGAGGCTAACACCTGCTATAAAGCGATACTACACCACAAATGGACTCCATGCAGTGCTCACACGGCTCACTCATTTAGCATCTCTATTCTCCTAAAGCAATAAATCTGTATGAGGAGAAAAGGGGAAGGGGAGGGCTGCGTCCGCACAGCAGTGCAACTCTCCATCACTTAGATGGGGGAATAATTGAACAACTGGAGAGAGAGAGAGAGAGAGAGAGAGAACCAAATCGTTTCCTCATCTGACATAACTTTCATTAAAGAGCCACAAAGAAAAGATGGCGCAAGACGGAATAAACAAGGGTGGCTTTGATTTAAAAGTGGGAGGATCCACAATTCAGAGGAAAAGACCAATACGTAAACAAATAGAAAATTGGTTCGCAGCTTTAGAACAGTGTTGGGAAGCAGCTCGACTGCATTGATTCAAATGTTGTACTTAAGTACAGTTTTGAGGTACTTGTACTCCTACTCCTCCACTTTTGCACAGAAGCTGTAATCAATTTTACCTTTATTAAGGAGCGAACATTATATGTACATTTTGTAAAGGTATGATGTGAACTTTCCTGCAAAATGTTATCCCGTTTAAGTTGGGCCAAGCATCAGCTCTAGTAAAACTGTTATGCAATTTGATCCATAACCTTTTGAGCATTCCGTCAAACAAACAGACAAAACAAATCCATTGCATAACCTCTTATTGCAAATAAGAGAGAGGGTACTTAGGCCTTCGGACATTTATCAGATTTGTGCGAGTCGTTTGAAATTACAAGTAATTCTCCTTCTGAACTTGTCAACTGGAAAGGGAAATAAAATAACAGCTTAAAGGCAAAACATAAAACTGTAGTGTTGATCTGATTTTACAGAAAAAAGCAAAGGATTAAGAAAATAAAAAAGCTCTCTTCTTTTCCTCCTCTTAATTCCCCCTTATATATATATATATATATATATATATATATATATATATACACACGCACACACACACACACTCACTCACACACACATACACACACTCACTGGCCACTTTTTAGGTATACCTGCTCAACTGCTCATTAGTGCATTTATTTGCCAAGAAAAGTCTTTAAAATCATTTTAATTATTCTTCACTGTATAGTGATACTGAAGCAAAGTGCATGAACCAAACCAAACAACTGTGCATTTGCCAAAACTGCCGGCGTAGTCAAGACGATCTGCTGAAGCTCAAACTCATCAGAATGCGCAAAAAATATCAGTTAAGTGACTTTGGGTGCCCGGCTGTTTCTGACTATTTTAGAAACTGCTCATCTGCTTGGGCTTTCCCACACAACCGTTTACAGAGAGTGATCCAAAAAAGAGAAAATATCCAGAGAGTGGCAGCTCTCTGTGAGAAAATGCCTTGGCGATGCCAGAGGTCAGAGAAGAAATGCCAGATTGCTTTGGGAGATGGCAGAACGGAAATAGTCACTCAAATAACCACTCATTACACCCAAAGTATGCAGAAGAGTATCACGTCAAACCTTAAAGCAGAAGACTGCACCAGGTGCCACGTCTTTTAGCCAAAGCTACATTTAGCATGGGCTCAGCAAAATTGGACAATAGATGATTGGAAAAAATGCTAAATGGCCTGATGAGTCTGCTGCAAGTGTCATAATGGTGTGGGAGATGTTTCCTTAGCACACAGTATTCCCATCTTCTGATGACTCCTTCTAGCAGGATAATGCTCCAATTTCTTTCACTTATTCAATTCAGAGTTGCAGAGGAGGGCTAGAGGCTATCTTAGTTGTCATAGGGTGAACGGTAGGACATGTCACCAGTCTGTTGCAGAGCTCACAAAGAAAAACAGACAACCATTCACATCCAGGTCCAACTTAGAATGGCCACTTAACCTGCCTCACTAACTGCATGTCTTTAAACCGTGGGAGAAAACCCACACAGACACAGAGGGGAACAAACGCCAAACAGATGATGGACTTGAACTCAGGACCTTCTTTCTACGAAGCAATAGTGCTAACCACCGCACCAACATGCTACACGCTACATCGCCCAAAGCTCAAATCATCTCCAACTGGTTTCTTAAACATGAGGACAAGTCCTCTGTGCTCAAATGGCCTTCACAGCAACCACATCTCAATCCAATAAAGACCCTTTGGGATGTAGAGGAATCAAAGATTCACCATGGGTGTGCGGTTGATAAATTTTGCCTTTGCTAAATAAAATGGGAAAATAACTGAAATCTGAGAATTTAAATGAAACTTACAGGTAAACCAGGTGGGCCCTGAGAACCTGGAAATCCAGGAGGTCCCTGCAGATAGAAAATAATGAAAGGAACACTTTAAAACACCCGAGACATAAAAGTAACAAGAATACACACAGGAAAAAAAAAACAAATTACCCCTTTCGTTTAAGCTGGTTTCAATTTGTTCCTGACAATTAGGTGAATGCTGCACTAGGCATGCCAACAGAGAGCTCTAGTGTCGGTTTGTGTGAGTCAGCCTTTCAGAGTTTAGTGTTATGGCACCCAGTGCGCAACATTTTCACTGGGGCCAGCAGGGGGCTCTGTGATTTCATGGAAAGTGGAAGGAATAAACCTCCACCAAGTCACTTCAATTGCAAGCTTTGAGACAAAAACCCAACGGTGCTGTCCTACAATAATCATAACAAGAAAAAAGATTTTTTTTTTCCCACTCACAGAAGTACTGGCAAACTAATGTAAGGCAGTGATTAAAATGCACTTTATAGTTTTTGAACATTTTTCTGTTGATAACAGAATTTTCAGAGTGGTAAGTTGGAGAAAGATGTCATCAAAGTAGTGGAAAACTTTTCTTAGTATCTTAAAATGGGAGATGCAGGGTCATACATATGAAAGATTAAGACTCCAGAGTAAGAGCCCACTGTTACAGCTTCCTAGTGTTATGATTTTTATTAAAGAAAACCAGCCAGAACTCAGTAGGTTCACCCTGCTGCAAATCAACTTCTGATGAAACTGAACTAAAGCTGAAATGTAGCTAAAACCCTTACCATGTTTCCGGGCATTCCCGCTTGGCCTCTTTCGCCAGATGGACCCTGAAGTAAAAATGAAGAATAAAGATCTCTGTAAAGTAATTTGCATATACATACTACAACAAAAACAGATCGGCAAAGAAAAACATAAGAAAATTATATTATGCACATGAAGACAATCTGACTCACTGGATCTCCTTTTGTTCCCGGTGATCCAGACATTCCTGGGATTCCAGGTGTTCCCACACAAGGCTGATCGCCCTGTGAGATGAAGAAATAAAATACCAGGAAGTGAGCACGCAAGTCTCTGTCATTGTAAACACACAGGCACTGACTTCAACTAACCCTTGGTTGTGTTGCCTGCTCCGTGTGCAGTCTCTCCAAACACTGCGAGCAGACAGGGCGACAGCTTATCAGACCAATGCCTTACTGTCACACTGAGAGCCAACCACATTAAGCCATGCACAGTAGAATTTAATGCAAAACGACATTGCCATTTTGCATTTAGCAAACAAATTGCAGCTGGTCTATTATTTCCTATGATTCTGAATCTGGAGAATCACAGAGTACATGCGAGCCTCACCAAGTCACAGCTGTCCAAGGGAGTTACGCCAGGCCTGCCCTGGTCTCCCTTTTCTCCCTTGGCACCAACCATCCCCGGCACCCCTGGCAACCCTTGGGAACATCCCCCTTCGCAGTCATCCTGTGTCACACACAATGAAACAAGCACACATGTGTATACCCAAACACGCCGTGCCATTCCCATTCCATGAAGGTTTTAATGATAAACTTACATCCTGACTTCCCGGGGAGTCTCGAGGCAGCTCCTTTGGTCCGATGTAAGGCTGCAGAATAGGCATGGAGATGGAAATTCCATGAATGTGATTTTAAACATTAAACTTAAAAATGACCACCCACATTACAGCCACCGACTCTGCTCTGGCTTATTTGAGAGAAAACAAAAATACTTTATGCTCTCCAAGCACAGTTCAAGCACAATGTTGTAACTAAGCCAAGTTACTTTAACAATTAAATAACGTCATAATACCATTATTTCTTAATAATGCAAGAGTACAATGCAAAATCCCTTTGGTAAGGTATAGTAACATTTATCGTATAGACAGTCTGTACAATGAATGTCTATTGTTTAGACGTTTATTGTACAGACTTGTACTGGAAATTGAACGCAGTACCCTGCTACCAGTTGAGTATCGCATTTTAATTCTGCCAGAAAAAACAGACCCACGTAGGCGGGTCATTCTCATACAAAAAAAAAAATTGGTTTGTCAAAGTAAGAAAGTTGCAAACATTTACTAATAATGTCTAAGCTGGCAGATCGCAGTTAGGCAAGTCAACATTTTGCTGCGGTAAAGGTTTAGCTTAAGACACAAACTTTCCGGTGGCAACTGTGTCTGCTAGCCGACCAAACATAGTCTTGTTGTCACTGTCATTTTCTAGTATTTGTCTTGCTATTTTGCTGAACAAATACGATTTCACAGAGTTGTTGAAATTCCACACTTGATGGGGTACACTTCACTTTATCACCGAGGGCTGCTTTATCACCCAAAGCTGCAGAAACCTGGTACAAACTGTCACAACCTTTGCAAGCAATATGTCTGTGTATGACTATCTCATTCCGCACAATGTCACAACAAAACAAATTACCGAGGCTCCAGAACTGAAGGCATTTCAAGCGAGAGACACATCCAAGCTGAGAACTAAATTTTTGTTCCTATCACAGTACGTGAGCTCAATCATTAGATTCTATAACCTCCAACGGGGGGGTTGGAGCCTTGGAGAGCTTTTTGCTGGGCAAGAGATGGGGGTAAGCCCTGGACAGGTCACTTTAGAACATGCTTGTTTTTGGACTGTGGGAGAAAGCCGGGATGAAGCCGGGATGCAATATTAAAAAAAGAGACACAAAGAGAGAGAACAAAAACTCTTTTTTTAAATTTCTATTAAATCAAGTCCAAAAGAGAAAAACTTCAAACTCAGAGAGACAAACAAATGCCACAACAGAGTGAAAATCTCCAGTTATTATAAATCCTGAAACACAACTGCTCATTACACACACCCATCGCATCTACTGTGAAAGGCGGTCAGCACCCTATCAAAGCAGTGGGACCCTTTCCACTGAGTGAGTCTGTCAATAGCACCTGGCCTGGTTTCAAAGTCATTACAAACCCATTTGACATTGTTCAAACTGGAGCTAATAGCTGTGAAGGCTATTTTATGCCGCACGCTATTGGTAATTATTTGAACTAAAACGAGGCCTTGTGCATTAACAGGCTCGCTCAAAAGAAAGTTCTCTATAATTTTTGCATGTATAATTTTACGTCAGTTATAGGAATAATGTTTACTTCTGCCACGCTGCAAAGGCATGTGCCAAATTGCAAATTTGGACAAATGTGTTGTGCAAAGGTGAGCGCGTGGAGGACAGAGTTCAAACTTTTCCACTGGAGGCTTATGCTACAACTCTTCCCTCCCCGATTTCCAAGCAGACTGTGACTGCGTGTATGCACAGGTGCTTTATGTGCTCGTATTCAACACTTGTCTGCAGTTTCTATAAGATCATTTTTTTTAAAAAGTAGGACATTTCTTTTCTTCACTGAACTACTTGTTGAAATACTGCATTGAAGGTTAAGTTGCCCTTGAGAGCTGGCTGGAGATCATCATCGATGTTCCTAAAATTAAATTAAGTTATAAACAGACTTGAAAGAAAGCAATACTGACAGCATATGCAGAAGAATCAGAAAGCGCAGATTAGTTTGCAACACCTTATTTCACCACTTTGTCTTTGTCCTTGCACTTACTGTCACGAGAAAAGAAATTACCTTCAGAGATTTTCAAACACACCTGAGGCTAGAAAAGGAACAGCCTAGCACTCAGTCAGTCATCTTGAAGCATGCAGGCATACACAGTGGGGGAAATAATTATTTCCTCCCCTGCTGCATTTATATTTGCTCACTTACAAAGAAATAAACGGTCTCTTATTCTTGTGGTAGTTTCATTTTCATGGAGACAGACGGAATATAAACCAAAAATCTAGAAAATGAAATAAGTATTTGATCCCCAACAACCCAGTCACAATTCTGGCTCCCACAGATTGATTGTAGATTACAATGAATCAATCAGCCAATCAGTTACAGAGACTCCAGATTTCAGCATATTATATTTATAAAGTACACCTGTCCATAAAATCAATGGGATCCGTTTAATTTACAATTCTTCATAAATAGAAGAAATATAAAATAACAGTCAATAGCCCTGGGTCTAGAGCTCCTTGGGGTGTGGATGGTCATGAGAAAGGTGGTGGATCATTCCAAAACTACACGGGAGGAGCATGTTAGTAATCTGAATCCAGATGGGACCACAGTGACCAAGAACACCGTTTAGTAACACACTTTGCTGTAATGGACTGAAATCTTGCAGCACAAGCACAAGTCTTCCCTCAAGCAGAACACTGAAGATGGGTCTTCTACCATCACAATGACCCAAAACAAACCACAGAAGCAACAAAGAAGTGGCTGAAGAAGAAACAGGTTAAGTTCATGGAGTGGCCTAGACAGTCTCCAGACCTCAGTGCTAGAGAAATTCTGTGGAGGGAGCTGAAGCTTCAAGTTACCAAACAGCAGCCAAGAAATTTTAAGGATTTCGAGGGTCTCCATAAAGAGGAGTGGACCAAAAAACACCTGGTGACCAACTACAAGAAATGTCTTTGGTCTTCCTTGGGGATCAAATACTTATTTAATTCAGTGACATGCAAATCAATGTATAACTTTTATTTAATGTGTTTTTATGGATTTTCCGTTTATATTCCGTCTCTCCAGTAAAGTGAAACTAGCAAAAAATTACAAGATTATAATTCCTTTGTGAGCAAACGTGAATTCAGCAAGTGCTCAAATAATTCTTTTCTCCACTTTGTACTGTACGAGCCAGATACCTACATGCCACCTTTTAATTTTGTCCAACAAAAAAACAAACTTCCTTCCTCTCGCATCAGCAGTTTCAAATTAAAAGCAGAAAAGCAGGATTTGTGCTTCAAATACAGGATTTAACAAAAGTAAACACAGCACATTTTGGGGCAGAGTATATAAACCACTTTAATCATGATGTAATAAAGTTTGTGCAAAACTAAAAGTTTAGAAAATAAACTCATGAGTCTTCCCTTTTTGGGAATATCTTATATATAATTCCACTTCCTGCCATATGTATTTATTTCGTGCTTTTGCATCATTTATACACAAGGCCCCAGATCTCAAATCAGCAGATAAGAGCCGCCTCTCCTCCTTTTTCTCTATTATTACTTACGATGTTTCCAGGCAAACCCGGTTTCCCCGGTAGCCCGTCGTTTCCAGGGATACCCTGAAAGAAGGAACTGAGGTTGAACTAGTTTGTTGCCAATCGAGGGCTAGCCACTCCCATCGGCACCAATGGTAAAGGCAGAGTCAAAGGGGCAGTGCCAAAATGACGAAACCTCTTCCCTCTCCGGCCATGTCTTATGAAACTTGGAAAAAAAAAAAAATCTCGGAACACTACCGAATTAAAAAAAAACAAAAAACAAATGCACTCTTTTCAAAGACATGATATCTCCAACCCAGTCACTTCTAAAGTTTCTTACGCCTTTGACTCTTGCAGCACAGATCAGAGCATCACTTTATTTGAAGGTCTGTTTAAATGAAAAAAAAAAAGAAAGAAAAAACTTCACAAATGAGCCAAATTCATACTTTGAGTAAGCTTTGCATCATTTGGTGCATTTAAAGCCAGACCTTCAAATAACTGTTCATGTCTTGACTGACATTCAGAAAGCTTGCTCAGTTGCTTCCCACATGGGTTAAAGCTCGAAGCACCAGATGGGTTAGTGCGTTTTTGAAGTTTAAACTTGATTTGATCCTTAACCTGCTTGTGTCCAAGCTACTGCACACATACTTTATATAATGGCAGTTCATTTCCTACATGCATAATATGGATTTAATTCACCCATGAAAATGCGAAGCACGTTAAAGCCTTATTTATGAACCCAAATTGCCCAAGCTCAAAGCCTACATAAGTAGCTTCTTTTTTTCAATTCAGCATAATGAAGCAGCTTCTGAATTGAAGCAAAGACATAACCCCTCCCCCCTGACCATCTTACTTGCACTCTCGCTTATACCTGAGGTCCTTGGCTTCCAATAACTCCCTCTGGCCCAGGGGGTCCAGGTGGGCCAGGAGGCCCTGGGGGACCCTGCAACATATGAAGGGAGGACCACAAATTACTACATCATAGTCTGACAGTGAAACCCCCCAAAAAAGGAGACGAGTGCTGCGATTTTCCAAACAAAGTTTGCAAGGTAACAACAGACACACAGCGTTCACACAAAGCCTAAGCTGTCATACAGGACGGCTCGGCTGACAGATCAGACCTGAGGCCCGGGCTGCCACGTGTTTATTGGAGTTCCTGGAGCTCCCTGCAAGGCAAGAATAGTCAAAATCAGAGATGCACCTTTGCTCGCAGGATATACAGAAAGCACACAGTGTGATGTTAAGAATTACACAACAAATGTCAAACTACAGAAAACTGTGGAAGAGCAAAAAAAAAAAAAAAAGAGAGAGAAAAAGAAATTAAAAAAACTCAGCAGTTTCTTTTTTCTCAACATGTTACCTTTGGACTCGCACCAAATCATCTGACCTTAAAACATACACTGAGCAGCAATGCTCTCTCTACTTTAGATGAATTTGCCCGTCCACATGTGGGGATTCCAGCGTGGGTGTACTTACAGGTCCGCCTACGCCCGTGTGCGGCATTAGGCAGCCGCACTCTCCAGGTTCACCCTGAAATATACAAAAAAAAAGACCCCAAAAAGCAGATCTTTAAAAAGAGAATCAAACAGTAAAGTGAAACTGGGCACGATTTTAAGCACAGGCTGCAAAAACGAGCCCTCATTCAAGATTAAAACTGCTCTTGTTACAGGAAGAAAGCCAGAACTCTTTCAGCTTCCGTGGCGCTTTTGTTCCGTTTTGTTAAATCTTGATGTGTTACAAAGACACTTGTAACTGGCAGGGATTTAAAGTTGTTGGGTTTTTTTTTTTTTATTCATACTGTGTCAGGAATATAAAGTGCAGCAATACACAAAATTGCCCAAAAAGCTTTAACTTTTGCATATATACAATGAACATGCAATTGTACAATTACACAAATACAGCTAACATATAAGAGGAAACCACATAATATCTCTTCATATGCATCTGTTCTCACTATAGTCCAACCAAAATCATTTTTTTCAGAGTATGCATGAGCCACAGAGTCTTAATAAATCCACAGAATAAAGGCTAAGTTACCTCTTGCACATTTTTTTTGTTTTCGGATTTTTTTTCAACTTCTTATTCTTTCTTAACTTTATTCTTCTTTTCACCTCAGCCCTCACAAACAACTCTGCCCCCACATCTTATACCCCTCCCGACCCTTAAACTCTGCCTCTGCCACGTCTTCATCTCTCCCACCCGCTCGGTGACAGTTTGGACCAGTGGCTCTGATAAATTCAGTAATTAATAGTCTCGCACACGCTCTCTCTTAAGGCCCCCAAAACTCCTCTTGTCTGCCAGCAACAGTACACTTGTCACCTCCACTGCTACTCTATACGTGCCCTGAGGCCGGTGCATGCACGTACATGTGTGTGTGTATGCGTGTGTGTATGCGTGTGTGTGAGACAGGGGATTGGGCCAGGCTGGTGTGGTAGTGGGGTGTTGAGCCATCTCTTGTGATTACCATCTGTTCCACCCTCTTTATATTAAAACCCCTCCAGTTTCCTTCATCCAAACAAAACGGTAGACTTACCTTGTCCCCTTTAGCTCCATCAAGCCCCTGCAAGAGTAGGAGACAGAGCAAACACACACACACAGACACACACAGACACGAACACACACACACACACACACAAAGACAAACACTTAGTTACTCTTGCTTTGTTGTTTCAGAAGAAAGCTCACGGGGCAGTGAGCTGAGAGCAGATCAGGGGACGGAGGATGAGATGGGAGCAGACATCGCCTCTGTTATGGATCGAGGCAGACATCCTTGGTTACAAATGATGCCTAAATCAAGGACAATTCCCAAAGAAGCTCAAAGAAAATTAAAAGTCTGAAAAGACGCTAACGCACGGGCGACAACTCGAGTTTGCCACTTGAATTTCTCTGACAACTCTCTGAATTGCAGATTCATAAGTAACAAAAAGATGTGAAAAACATGTGATTGAAACAGACTTTAAATGAACAACTCACAGGTCTTCCATCAGCTCCCGGCAGTCCCGTGGAGCCGCGGGCTCCATCTCTACCCTGTGGGTCAAAAAAGGAAATAGGAGAGGGTGTTTGAAAACATATAAGCATTACATCATATGGAGAGGCAGAAAGACATATTTACGTCATACCGGGGGGCCTGCCACTCCAACGCCCAGAGGACCAGTTGGTCCAGGAAGCCCAGAGTCACCTTTGAAGCCCTGTGAACAGTAAAAACCCAACACATAAGTTTAAAGAGGGTTCACATGGTCCCATGTAACTGTACAAAGGCAATTTAGAGTTTAAGCCACTTGTTTTTTCTGCTACCTTCTCCCCTGCAGGGCCAGCAGGCCCAGGTGATCCTCTGGCACCAGCAGGTCCCTGTACAAAAAGCCGAGATTAGACTAAAGTCTACATAAGAAATAACAAAGCACTTTAAAAATAGGAGAAACCTACTACATGTCCTGGGAGTCCTCTTGGTCCCTCTTCACCCTATGATGGAAACACAAACAACGACAACAAAAAAAGAATCTGAAGGTTAACGAAGTCTGGGGAGAAAAGAGCAAAGATATGGACAAAGACTGACAAATCAATGAGCTGTTATTCCACGAGAGGTCAAAGGATTTGAGAGAGAAGAAACTCCCAAATTACTTTATGGCGGTTATTTACAACTCCACTGTCAGATCTGCGAGACCGTAAAACTCTAATCGCTGATGTCATGGGGAAATTTGGTGCAGTGAGATTAAAACAGCATCCACCTAGGAGCTGCGTGAGTGTTGTGTCTAACAGCTGTTTCAAATGTCAACATCAAACTTGATCCAGATGGTTTCTTTGTTTTTTTCCTCAGGAGACGTCAGCCTTACTTGTGGTCCTGGAAGGCCAATTCCTGGGATTCCGACTTCTCCCTATAGACGACAAAGTACATTGACAGTGAATCAGTCATCCATATTTATTTATAAACATGATAATATAATAAATGGGAATTCACACCTTGATTCCTTTGGGACCAACGGGGCCCTGCACACCAGGCAAACCTGACTTTCCCTGAAATGACAAAAACAACAAAAAAAAACAAAAAACAAGCTCATCATGTGCAATTCTCACAGCACAGAACTTAAAGTATATCCACTTATAAACAAGTGCCTTTACATTTTTGCCAGACTTTCCTTCTCCTGGGGGGCCGGGGTCTCCTTTCTCTCCTTTGGGGCCTGGCACAGCTACACCGTCACCCACCACAGCACCAGCAGAAGGGCAGCTGGTACACGCATCCCCCTGTAAAAAATAAACAAATAAACAAATAAAATAAAAGCAAATGAACAAATCCAAAATCACAATCCAAGTAGCTCAGGACGAATCAAACTTCATTCCAACTTCTGTGTCTCCATTTAGCTAGTCAGCATCAATTCTAACTCCTATTTCCTAATATGAAATAGATGCTCTCGATGGATGGAGAGACAAATCTAAGTCCATTTAAAAAAAACGAATTAGATCTCTAAGGTACAGGGACACGACTGACACATTTTATACTGGCACTGGCATCAGAGGATGAAAGGTAAAGGTCCAGGAATGCTAAACTACCTTTTCTCCCTTCAAGCCCCGTTGGCCATCCCGACCATGGTCTCCAGGCAGTCCTGGGGCTCCAGTAGCTCCATCTAATCCATTCTCTCCTCGATCTCCTTGCTCACCCTGGTTAAATTGAAATACATTGTTAAAAGGAGAGGCAGTGACCTGTATTTAGTGTGCACAATGCTCAAAACGAATTCTAGGCAGGCTTCTTTCTTTTTTTTCCCACCAAGAATAACTAAAAGACTGTGAGTGATGCAACCTTTCTGATGGTTTCATGCTATGATACTTATTGACAGCTGCCTGCAGCATGAATTGTATCATCAAAGGTAGTGGAGAAGATTTCTAGTGAGCAAACACAGACGTGAATAATGCATGATATTAATTAAAAAGGTTTTGCGATCTTATGAGAAAGAAAATGTACACGTATTGTGGATGCCACCAATACCCACAATGCAGTTTTACACTAATTGGAAACCTTTGAGTATTTACAAGACAGCTCCACAGGGTAGCTAAGGATTCCCTCCCCAACATCAACCATGCCAGTATTTTTGTCTGATCTGTGTTTATGTGGAAAAAAAAAATCAATCTCAGTATTCCAGTAACTATCTTCCTCCACTTTGAAGTTGAAGCAGAGTGATTCCTGTGGATGACTTTCAAGGTAATTTAAGGCAGCTTGGCTCCGTTATTGGGAGATTTATTTCTCGGTTTTATAGGTAAAGTGATGCGAATGTTCCACCACACGGATTCTGTGATCTAAAATAAGCACAATATTTAATACGCGGCGTGGGATTCCTCCAGACATGTGCTTATGTGAGAATGCCTGGCTGCCTCTAAAGGCCACCAAAAACTCCAAATAGTCTCATTTTGTCAGCATACTGCTTTGGTTATGTGGGCACTGGGTAAATGTCACAGAATGGTTGTAGATTTCATATGTAACTTACTAGGTCAAACCATAGGAGACATTACTGAGTAATTTACCTTTTCTCCTTTGGCACCAGGCAGCCCCGATGGGCCCTGTAAAGGCAAAAAAAAAAAAGAGGATGTAAAAATGTAAAAAAAAATGCATGCACACAGGTAGAAACACAAACATGCACGTGCCCTTTCAAAACACATGTGCAGTCATCTGCAAATACTGTGGGAGCCTCTATCCATTCAGATAAAATAAAAACTGTTGACACAGAGCTAACCACAGAAGCAAACAGCATGTAATTGGGGGGGATGACACAAGCCAAAAGAGATTTATTATACTTAGTAGCACTTCTGTGGTAAGAGGAGATTTGCTGTATAGCCGATTTGTACAATAAGTATTATGGGTTGACGCACCCTTGAGGCACAATCTTTCAGTATCTTAAAAGTCTCACTCATCAAGATAATGCTTAATCCTTTATACTCAGCAAGGATCGGAAAGAAGCTGCATTGGTTTTGTGGAATTTGCATAATGCGATTTGAGTTACTAATTCTGATGAAGATCAGTTATGGAAGTAATGGTGTGTGCAGTGCTGTTTCCATTTTTGTTTGTTCTTGGGTTTGGTTGCAAGCTATGTCACTGTTACATGCTAATTTAGCCAAGTGGCATTGTTTCTTTTTAAGGATTTATAGAGGTTTCGTTCTGTTAAAAGGGAGTTTTTCTGTCCCACTGTCGCCAAGTTCTTGCTCATAAGGGGGTCATCTGATTGTTGGGGTTTTCTCTGTCGGGGCTTTACCCTAAAAATATAAAGCACCCTGAGGCAACTGCTGTTGTGATTTGGCACTATATAAATAAATATTTTATTCCTTCTTTCATACCGTAGTGCTCTCTACAAGCAAAGCCAAGAAGGTCTTAAAAGGTGCTGCCCTGTCATTAGCACTTCCATCTACATGTTTCTTGGAGATGCAGTTATTTTAGCAGCAATACAGTAAAATGCGCTGCGCAGTTTCTGTAATTTTTTCCTAACTGAAAAGAAGACAACAATACATGAACATATTAGAATAATCTAAGGTCAAGCTGTTTTTGGATTCCAAAAAGATGCTTCAAATCAGTGTGATGGATACGCACCTGTTTGCCTTCAGCCCCAAGACCTGGAGGTCCTGGTGGCCCCTGAGGGCCTGGTTCACCTTGACTGCCTTTTGCTCCCACTGGCATTTTGATATTAGCAGGTATCCGGCCAACCTCTGATGATTCGCACACACCGCACTCGCCCTAGGGAAAGTAAGGGAGTCAACGAGATGAGTTTGCATAATAAAAATATTAAAGGATACAAAACCAACAAATACATCTGCACTTACCTTCTCACCCTTTTGACCCGGAGAACTAACACCAGGCTGCCCTTGTGCTCCCTTAGAATGTATAAACGTAAAATTAAAAAACCTTGGAATAACATAACATATAAAACACTCAGTAGTAAGAAATGGGGAGGATTTCGGAGTGAAGAACCTCTAGCTGAAAACAATACCACTTGTTAAAGTCAAACTTGAGATATTTTTTATGAGATATAAAGCTTGGAAGGTAGACTTGAAAGGTTTTTTGTCTCAGTAGGAGACATGGAATATAGTGTCTTTCTTCTTTAAATAGCATGCATGCTGACATTAACAAACTTGGATGGTGAACATAGAGAATGAAGACACTTACTTACATACTCTTAACTTGTGCCAGGGAACATTGGGAGTTTATATGCTAATGCTACTTTTAATCTAAATCGCTAACTTCTGCAGCTGTGATGTGTTACATTTAACTCATGCTAAACATTCACAGGTTAGGGCACAGTTCTCGCTTATTAGATTGTGGGAAGTACATATTTATGTTTAGTATAAATTTTCATATTCTTGGCAGTTATTATCACCACTAGAGCTACAGTTTTCATGTCAATTTCATGTGCTATTTTAGCATGCTAGCAGGGGTACTGGGTTTTAATTTAGCAAGATGAAAAGTGTTGTAATGTTGTGTTAGTGAGCCAAAAAGAGTACCAGGGTGTTACTTTGGTGAGCTTGAGAAAGTACAAACGTGTTAATGTGGCGAGATAGAAAGGGAGCAAACGTGTTAATTCAACAAACTAACAAGAGGTGTTACTTTAGAGAGCTAGGAAAAGCACCAAAGTGGTACACATAGACAGGAGAAAACATTAATCTTCTAATCTTCTGAGGTGGAAAGATTAAGCCAATGCAGAAGAGCCTTAAACATGCTTTCTATCAAAAGGCCACCAAATGGCCATAGCCGTGGTTGCAAAAAGACATCTGGTCTTATAAAAGTCTATACTTTCTGTATTAACCTCTGTAAACACTTTCCTGATGGGTTAATGGGCTCAGTCACTCACTTTGGATTATATTGAATAAAAAGGTAAGTCTGGTTTTTAAATCTTGGCCATCAAAAGGGATCCAAAACCTTTTGACATATTTTCCTACCTTTTCACCTTTCTGTCCATCCTTGCCACTTGGTCCCCTTGATCCAGGTTTTCCCTGTCTCGTGGGCACATTTTATGATTTCAGTATATCGGGATGTCATCCAAAAAAATCATGTTTAAAAAGAACTGAATCTGAACTTACGGTCTTTCCATCAGCTCCTCTGCTGCCTGGATTACCCTGCAGTTGAGTGGAAGAAAAAAAATTACAGTCTAAATTTTAAGAATTAATAAAAATGGATGGGTCTTTTCAATTGGTAATTCACATTTGATAGTACAGACCCTACAGGCAGCCATCTCAAATAATAAAAAATAAATAAAAAATTGGCTTTTGACTACCTAAGCTCTTCACTAATAAGTTTCCCACTGAGGAAAATCCCAATGGCAAACAGTCTGGGGCACTAAAATTAGTGCACTGCTGTGATTATCTTCCTCATGAAGTCTATTAAGAGCTTCACGCAGAAACCTACTGAGTGAGTTCCCCTTATGTAAGCCTTGTCTGCTATTGAGGTCACCTACTCTGTTCATGTTTCTTTTTGTGCGACTTACCTGCTCTCCTCTAAGACCAGCCGGCCCTACATCTCCTGGCTGCCCCTGTGTAGGAGGAAAAGTGGACAATATATCATTTTAATTAAGGTACTTATCAATGTACACACATGCGAGCAAATATATATGACAAAATCACCAATAGGAGTATAGTCAAACAACCCAATTTTCCACTCAGTTTAAATACCGCTGCTTCCCCTTAGTAGCTCCAAAGTCTTTTTTTGGTTGTTGTTTTTAACTTTGTGGGCAATTTGCTTCTTATTGATCACCAGAATCACATTAATCCCTTGTAAATAGGCTTACCTTCTCTCCTTTCTGCCCAATTCCAGCTTCTCCCTTCTCGCCTTTTTGCTGTTGGGTTTGGGTCATGACACCGGGGACAGAGTTAGAAAACTCTCCGAGAGTGGGGCACGCAGAACACGGCTCTCCCTAAATCACACAGACGGAGCAGGGAAGTTCAGAGTGGATCACAGACTGCCTTGAACGAATAATCAGAACAGACTCATTTGGTTCTGTGACCCGGTCAAACAAGTTGCCAGTCATGGAAAAAAATAAATCACATTAATAAGGTTAGAAACATTCTGGTGCTGCAAGACTTGTGGAAACAGATAACTGTTTAGCCTCAAACATAAAAAAAGACACAGAGCTGACCTTTTCACCTTTGGTACCATCAGATCCTGGTTGTCCCTGCCAAAACATACAAAAAGACAACAGTCAAGAAGGCATATTAAACCGAGTGCATCCTGACAAGCAGGCTTGCTTTGTCATGTCATGTCTCAGCATGGCGTTGGAAGCGTTCTGGCTATAACAATTAGGCAGATATGGGAGTATGTCAGTCCTGCACATACATGCATTGGGAATCGACCCACTTAGATAGCCATGTGAAGGAGTGTTGAAAGTGTGCGCGCGCTGACTTTCGTCTCTTTTGTTCCTTGCTTTGAGTTCAGTACTGCTGGTTGGCTTGCATCTGCTTTAGGAGGGAGTCGTCTACAGTGCTGATGTTAGCATATCTGAATGTGTAGGAATGAGGATGAATAGGCCACGCTTCCACAGAATTTGAATGAACCATAAGCTGTAAATGGGGGGGGGGGCTCAATACCTTCCGTCCTTCCTTGCCATCTGCACCTCGAAGACCCTGTTAAATACAGAGAAAAGGGAAGAGGTGGGAAGAACAGGAATTATCTAGAAGCAAGAATGTTAGTTCAACTTTGTGAGAGTAAGGTCATATCTCCCCTCTCCCTCTCTGCTGCTCTACCTCGTTCTCCTTCTGCCCTAACCAGGTATGACAGATGGATACTGGCACTATTGGAAATCGTTGCACAGGGAATCTCATAAGGCTTGAGATTTATATTCTTTTTTTCCCCACCACAAATCATTCTCTATTTCACCTGCTGGGGTAAGTGGGAAGATGCGGAATGAACAGAAAGAGAAACACAATGCACAGGGTGCCGAGTTCTGACTCACTAGAGAAACAGAGAGACGAGTTAAGATTACATTAAGAAAAAGCCCTTTGCCTTGGAGGATAAACTTTTGACAGCATATCACGCCTTCTCCCCTTGAGCTGCTGCAATACTGTGAGAATTACAAGGGCAAATAAAAGCCCAAGGTAGACATAAATGCCACACTTTCCCTCTGAATGATAAGAAAAATAAAATATATGCGTTATCAAAAAAAAAAACAAGTGTGCTCAAGGTTCAATTGTCAGCTACAACTCTGACCGTGTCTACAACTCCATAATAAAGAAATGTAGCAAGATCGTAAAAAAAATGGCAAACTTAACATTCCGGTCAGGTGCAGATGACATTCCGGTCAAGCGCGCTACTTACAGGCGGTCCTCTCTCTCCTATCCCTGGTAATCCGGACTCTCCTTTAGGGCCAGGTTTCCCTTGCAAAGCCACTGTGTTGCCTATGTCTGCAGGCAGCACTGGACACACTTCGCATGGGTCACCCTGAAGATTTAACGCAAGTTAGACGTACAATGTGATGATGAGACAGGACTCAGACAAAATGCATATAGAAATTAAATATAGTGTTTACAAGATATACCTTCTCTCCTTTATATCCAGGTGGTCCTCTTGGACCCTTTGAAAACAGCACAATCTCATTCAAACACTGACATATCGGATCAAAGTTCAAATCATGTCCATAACCTGGAAGCCCATTCATACATTACAGAATACTAATCGATGTTTAAAAAAGTATCTCACTGGTTCTCCAGGGAATCCATCTTCTCCTGAAGTTCCTTTATCGCCCTGTAAATACAACAGCTGTTTTACAGAAAGCTTTTTTTTTTTAGTAATAAGACATTTCTTTTTGCCTTTGCTGGTCCTTGATGTGCAAACAATCAACTAACTACTTGCAAGCAGGATTTGCATAAAGCATTTACACTGGGACAGGACCTTGAGTATCCTCAAAACCACTGCATTTACAGTATTATGTTGCAAAAAACATTGTATTTTCAATTACTTTTCTGCTAACTAGCCTATTTAACGCCATAATACTTAGTCAGGTATCATGGTTTCAACTGTTTATTAATTACATGTAGTAACCATTTCAGCTGTTTGTCCATTAATTTAAGCAAACTTTTAAATCGCTTGCTTAAAAAGTCACCATTTCAACTATCTTTATATTAACTTTGGCTAATAGTTTAACTTTTAGCTAATAGTTTCAACTGTTCATTTATTAATTAGGTAGATATGTCACACATTTTTGATATTTGTTCTTTTTAGTTAAACATTTATACCTTACTTTTAGCTAACTATTTGAACTATTTAGTTAGCTAACTAGTACTTATTTGTTTAGTTTTTTTCAACAACTTTAAGTTACTCTCAGCTTTTCAAACTCCTTACTAACAATCCCCCTCCCTTCTTAACAAGTATCTTCTTAACAAATACATGCACATATCTTTTTTAAGTTAGTGAATGCTAATGCTAATGGTAATAGTAGCTGCAGTGGTACCTTCCGAGATACAAAGGCACTCGAGTGCCACGGCCTTGAATGCTTCATATATTAAAGCAAAAAGGACATCTTTATTATAATATGCCTAAGAGCATTATTATAACAATCATAAGTCAAAATGTAAGCTTACCTTTTCTCCTTTTGCACCGCTGGGTTCACCAGGAGGGCCCTGGGAAGGAAAAAAAAGGAAATGAATCTTTTAAAATGCCATCCTAAGATGCTTTTAGACTTTAATCAGGAGCAATCTGACACATCCTGTCATGTATTTCTGAGAGCTGTGGCTAACAACCCCCCCACCCCCCCACAAAGAAACACACACGTTGGTCAAATAGAAGCCATTTCTAAAATGAGGATAAGGACATTAAGATAATCAGTACAAGGACATTGTCCAATAATTGTGTATATCATTCTTCTGCTTTCTGTGACCAGGTCTTTAATTAAAAAGCGTACTCACTGGAGGACCTGGTTTTCCGACCCCTGGTAGGCCTGGAAGTCCCGGCTTTCCTGGCTCTCCTGCCAATCCTTCCGGACCTACCATACCAGGGACACCCTGGGAAACAATTTCAAAACATATCTATTAAATGCAAACTGGACTGAGAGAATGTCACAGGTTAATTGTAGACGTGATGCAGACAGACCTTCTGTCCCTTGGGGCCGACCACACAGACCGATCCCGCTCGACCCTGGGAAAAGGTGACAGACAAAAAGAGAATTGCCATCATCAGTGCCAACTCCGAATAATCAAACAAACTATGTTGAAATTTATCTGCAAAATGTCTTCATAAATTGTTAAAGACACTTGTTTTCCCCCATTTGTCTGATGTTCCTCGTCTGAGAAATAAGAAAAAAAACGGGAGAAATGTAGAGACTGTAAGATGTATCGTCTTCAGTGGTGCATACGTAATATTTTCTCCTTGCCTGATTCAAGTCACATCAACAGCCCATTCATATTCACAATGTCAGATGGATGGGAGACTTAAGAAAATCTATCCTCCACCAAATCCATCTGGCCACAACAAGCACTTAGCCCGGTGAACGTGAGTGTGAGTGCGCGTCTGACGCTGAAACCAGGGGAATATCTCAGAGCACACACATGTCGTAATTTGTTCCTCAAAACTTTTCATGCGTCTACAGGATCACTGCACTGAACAGGGAAGATTAAAAGGTTTAAGTCTTCCTGAATAGACGCCCGCCTGTGTGAGAGACGAACAGCACAGTCAATGAGGCAGCATTGATTGTGCAAGCTTTGTTGCTCTAGCCTAATCTAACAGGCATTAACAGGCCGACTTAACGCAATGGGAGAGAGAGTGGAGGGGGGAATAAATATCAATGGGCGCCTGAGCTTAAATAGTAATACCGTATGAGTTTACTGAATATCCGCTCCAGCTTGATAAAAGTGGCTGCATAAGTGGATGTGCGTGAATGAATTAGTATGTTTGTGAGTGTGCACTCATGTTTGTGCTATTGAAAATGTAGATTGAAAGCTAAACTCTACATTTCAAGCCTGAAAGGTACTTTGGCTGATTCTAACGCTCTAATTTGAAAGCAAAAAGAAGTAAAACCAACAAATACAAAAACACCTACATCCTTTCCTGGGGTGCCTGTCAGACCCTGTGGACCCCTCTCACCCTTCTGACCTTTGTCTCCCTGGAGAATCAGAGGGGGGTGAGGAATGAAAAAGCAAGAGGTTAGACTTTAATTAGATGATCATTAAAAAGTCATATCTTTATTATTCATCACCAAAAGTTTCTTAAGCTCTTCACCTTGTACCCTGCTGCTTCGCCCCAGTTGGCAGGGGTCGCCTGTGGAGAGAGTGAATGGAGACAAGGACCAGATCAATGAACTGGCTCTAAAGAAACTCTAAACAGCCACACACACCACTGGAGCATAGCAAAACAACACAGTGGCCAGTTGGCAACCGGTAAGGGCTACCAGCAGGGGCCATATGCCCCATTTGGACACACACAAACAAACAACTTGAGAAACAGGAGCACATTATAGAGCAGCAATCCGAATGGCTTTACATGCTGCATATTAATCAGACACAACTCATTGTTGAGAATCTAAATTTAATATAGAAACAGAGACCCGGGGGTTGGTTTCACAAAGCAAAGATGGATTTTGTGGATGGATTAAATCAAACTAATTCAAATTCTTCATCTGCTGCACAAAACACGTTAGACCTTGACTATCTTAAGCAGGAATGTGTTGTAATAAATATTGGATCAATTAAGACTTTTCAACAACAACATAAAAAAATAAAGTGCTGACTGAGTGATCACACCCAACCAAGTAACACAGATGGAACTAAGAAGAAAAGAATTGTGCTTTTTGAGAGATAATCAGTGGAAAATGTGACATCAGATCACAATGAAACGGTCTACTTCCTGCCTAATCTCGTGAATTCATGATGTGATTTGCAGAGAAGGCACTGGCAACATATGTGTGAATAAATATAAAAGTAGGGTTACTGGTGTTTATGTTTCTTAAACCTGAAATACACCCGACTTTATTTTATTCTCTTCTGCCCTGTTGGGTGCTGCTGATAGTCTGAGTCTTAAGGTTTGCTAGCCTAAAGGTAGGCGGTCAAGTCAGTCTTTATGTTTTTGCAACGCTCTAACTTTCTGCATTCACCTGTGGCCACGAATTGCGGCTAGTGACCGAAAGAGTGAGCCCACAAATGTCAAGAGTGACAGACAAATGTCAGAAATTAGTTTCCTACGGGGGTTCCTGGCCTCAACCTCGGAGGAGGGGTGAGGAACTCAGTCATCCCGGGGGGCTGCTCAAAATAGAGCCACTTCTCCTCTGCATTGAAAGGAACCGGTCCAGGTGGTTCAGGCATCTGGCCAGGATGCCGCCTGGATTTCAGGCATGACCACCCAGGAGGAAACCCCAGGGCAGACCTGGCACAAGATGGAGAGATTACGTCTTTCAGCTGGCTTGGTAATGCCTTTCTATACCTCTATGAGAGGTGGAGGCAGTGGCCATGGAGAAGGGAGGTCTGGGCAATTCTGATTAGAATGCTGCCCCCTTGACAAAAAGCCAACTAAGCGGTAGAAAATGGATTGATGGGTCTGACCTGCTTCAGAGTAATCGAGGATAAAATTTAAAGCTGATCCAACTCTTTAAACTAGTCAAATCTATCCTTTGAGAAACCAAGCCCTGCATATATACTTTCATGCAAATTCGGTGAGTCACTCACCAAGTAAATAAACATACAAAGCACACCATCATTCCCACTGCATAATTAATACTGGGAAAAGGATGCTGGAAAATGAGGTTTCAAATAAAGCTCAAACTAAACAGCTAGGGGGTTAGCAGGGCAGTGGAAGGTGCTGCTGTAACCTTGGCAGTATTGGCACTCACCGACTCGCCTTTCTCTCCCTTCTGCCCCTTGGGTCCTTCTGTGCACTGAGGTTAGAGACACTTGGTTGGCATGTATAATCACAGACCACTATTGGCCAAAATTTCAGGCTCACTGCACTGCATGCCAAATAACTAAAAAGACCAACCCAAAAAACAATGCCTTTCCACAAAGCGTGGCGTGACGTGACTGTGACACACAATGGAAAAGTAACTTACTGGACCTGAATGGGAGCCAGAACAGTCATCACCCTGAAAATAGAGAGAGGTAGAGAAAGAACAATGATGGCAATGAACAACGATGTGGGTGAGGAATAGAATCAGTGAACACCGAACAATGCGTACCACCTAGATGGTAATTGGTCAACAGCCTACATCGTATTGGACTACAGCAATATCAAAGCGCCAAAGCAGACATGTCTAGGCACAAGCGATTGTATTGCTCATACCTCTGATATTAGTCTTACACTACTACTAAATTCTTCATACTCACCCGGTCCCCTTTTTCACCTTTCAACCCAGCAGCCCCACCGAAGTTTACAACCTGCAAAACACAAAAACGCTCAGTCACCCACCAGCCTGATTTTATACCACTTTAAATAGAAAGAAAGAGAAAGTAAAGATCAGAGATCCTTACATTTTCTTCCCTATTCAGGAGTAAACACCCCCCACACTACAGACACAGAGAAACAGAGATTTATTATTATATGAGTTTAACATCCACTGAAGGACCTGCTGTGTGCCTGAAGAAGAGATGAATGTTGCAGTTCAATTTGTTCCCTGGCAGTGGCACTGTTGCACAAAAACAAATCGAATTCTGCTCTACAGTATGCAGTCAAAGGGAAGCAGAGGTGGGCACACACGTGTACACACACACACCTCCCATGGGAGATGGAGATCAATAGGAATGTCTGATTCCCACAGCACAGGAGTGAGCAGACCAGCTGCTCATCACAGGAGGGTACACACACGCCTGCGCACAAACACTCGCGTGCACACTCACAGACACATGCATAGGAAAATAAGGATTACCATTATAAATAACTGAAGCATTTTTAGCAGAAGCGAGTAATTAAAGCCAAATCCCCAGTCCTGTGTTTCTGGGAGCCTTGCCTTCATATTAACAGAAGGTTTGCATATAGGCTGAAGCTGTGACTGTGCTGTGAAGAGGGCTGTAACAGCACAGAGACAATGTGTAATTCTCCCACTTCTCTCTTTTTTTTTCTTCCCTTTTTTGTTTTTCCACCCTCACGCACTCACTCACTCACTCTTAGCAGCTACAAATCTATCAATGGCTGGCTAGACCAGCTGCAGTGACGAGTCACTCTTTCCAAGCTCTCTTCTGTGACTGTGGGCTTAGTCAAGACCACTTATACATCTACTTAAACCTTCAGCAGCCTGCTTTTTGTTGTTTGTTCTCCACATTTCTCAAAGTTGGAAAGAAAAGTGTAAGAGCAAAATGTACTACTGAATATCGCTTTAATTCACATCACTTTGCTGGATTTGCTGTCAAATCCAAAACTTTGAAATCAAAGCTTTGGCATGTATACTATGCTTGGCACTGGCATTTCTATACTTTCTTTTTTAATGGCAATGGCAATTTCCCCAATTGAAGTTGCTGGTTTTTAGCTTCGTTTCGCAAATAAGCAGCCAAATACTGTTAAAATGTTTCTTTTGTTTGTTGAGGGAGGGAAAAAAAAGAAAATCCCTGACGCATCTGCAATGTGTCTGCCTCCCTCCAACTACTTGGCATGCAGCTGTGTGCTTGTGGAATGGGTCCAATCCTGTGTCAGTCAGTCAGCTAACATGTTGGCAGAGAGGACAGCTTTTGCATTGTAGAAGTATTCACACTTTATTGTGTGCAGGTTTGATATCAAGTGTTTGCTAGGTGCTACTTCACATTTTGAAGATGCACATGCAGGCTAAGGACATCTCTGTGGATGTGGCTAGTTGAGAAAGTTCAGCTCAAAAACGGCAATGGCTAGCTTTTAGCTAAACATGCAACTTAAATGAAAATTAGCATGCCCGTTGCTTGTTATGTGGTGGAAAGCTACTGTTATCAGCTCACTATGTAATGAGAATGAGAATGTATACTAGGCTCTATACCATGTAGAAGCTAAATGTGTTAGCAGTGTGAAATATGAAATGTAAATACTACATTGGATGCAGTGATTTGGAAAGCTCATGAAGCCTCATTTTGTCACAACAGAACAGAAAATATATCACATGTTTAAACTGAGACACTGAAATTGGCAGAGTTTCTCACATGTAAAATGCACAGAGGTTCACCAATAGCAGAAAGCTGCTTCAGCAAATTATGGAACGAATGTTCCTCCGCATAAAATTGTATGTAATATCATCAAAAGATTCAGAGAATTTGTAGAAATCTTTGTGCACAGGGCCGAAAAACAAAATTAGATGGTCAGGATCTTTGGGTAATCAGGTGGCTCTGTATTACAAACAGGCCCAATTTTGTCTGTGAACACAGTTCACTGTGCCATCCACAAATGCAGGTTCAGGCTCTAACATATGAAGAAGAAGCCATATGTAAACATCACCCAGAAACACTGCCATCTTTTCTGGGCCACAGATCATTTGAAATGGACTAAGGCAAAGTGGGAAGCTGTTTTAAGCTGAGAAAAACCCCAATTTTAAATTGGTTTTGGAAAACATGGACATCTATGCCCATCCAGTGGGCCTCGGGACTAAAGAGGATCTGGCTTGTTATCAGCCCTCAGTTCAAAAACCTGCATCTCTGATGGTATGGAGGGCGCACTGTGCAATTGGCTAAGCAGTTGGTAGCTTGCACATCTGGAAAGGCATCATTGATGCTGAAAGGAATATACAGGTTTTAGAGCAACATATGCCCCCAACCAGGAGATATCTTTTTCAGGGAATGTCATACATATTTCAGCAAGACAATGCTAAGCTGCTAAACTGCATCTCTTACACACCTTTGTAGTAAAAGATTCAAAGTAGACACCTCTGACCAACTGAAAAAATGTGGCAAAAATGCAAAGAAGACCCAGGACTGTTAAAGATACATAGACCCGCCCCAACTTCTTTGAGTAGTTGCTGTCCTCAAATTCAGAAGGGCCTTATTTTTTTCTTGAAACGGGACATTTTCTCAGCTTAAACATTTGATGTGTTTTCTGTGTTTTATTGTGAATAAATCACGTGTTTATGGGATTTTTCAAATCCTTATTTTCAGTTTTTACCGACACTTCACACACCATCCCAACTTTTGAGGTATTGGGGTTGTACTCTAATGAGTTACTTTTCGCAACACGTAATGATATGAAATAAAGGATTACTTTTAAATGGCAGGAGTCTCGTATATCATCAAGTACTTTTCAAAGTCGAGTTTAGGAAACATTGGACAGGGCAACATTGGCATTACTTTGTAGTCATGTTTCTGTTTTCTTGATGTTGGGCTCTGCCAACCCTTGGCTCAGTATTTTTTAGCTGCTAAAGATTTCTCTATTTTCACCAACTTATGGCTAACTTTGTCTTCTAGCTAAAATGCTCTGGATAACTGGATAATCATTGCAAGGAGAGAAAAAAACTCCCACTCACTGTCCTGTTACTTGCATATAAACTTTACTGGAAGAACAATGTTTTGGCCCTTAGACCTTTGTCGGGTATCTGAGAGACTATGAAACTGCCAGATACATATGGTCAGCGCTTCCTCGGGTGAGGCCAGAAAGTTGAATTTCCAGTAGAGTTAAGTTTTACAAGTAAAAGTACATTACACAGGCGTTTTGTCTTCTCTTGCCTATAAATACTTCCTCCTACACTTGTGTTTTGAAGAAATTGACTGTATGAGCCTTTCCGTCAAAATATTTCGATTAATACCTTAGTCAAAAGTTTCGATATCCCGCACAAAGCACACTCTCTTTTTGACATCGCCATCCCAAAACAAAGGCGCTCACTACTCATTACGCTAACCAGTACAGATCATAATCTATGAGCTTAAACAACTGAGAACACAGGCACCAACATTCTATCAGGGAGCCTTCTGGTACCACTTTTTGGCAATCCTTCTCTCCATCTGCCAGGTCTCAAGCCAGCGGACACTAATGCAAATCTACAAGTGTAAATAAAAATTCATAATCTCCTCTAATGCAATTCACTTAATTATTGTAGTGTATTAAAACTTTCACTGACAAATCTTAAAACAGGAACAAGAAGGTTTTATTCATAGTGCAGGGATTTCAAACTAATTTCATACCGCGTGCCACATACAGCCCATTTTGATCTTATATGGACCAGATCAGTGAAACCTCCCCTTTCTGTCAATGTACAGAAATGTAAGTATACCTTAAATCAATGAAAAATCCTAATATAAGAAAAAGAAGAGCAATTTCAACAGTATGTCAGAGTTTTTCTACACGATAAAGAAATGCTGCTGTAGAAAATAAAATAAATCTTTCATCATGACTAATTGGGCTTAAATTATAAAACATAAATGTGTAAAATTATAGAAATCTATAGTTTAATTACTGTGGTGTAATATGAATGGCTATGGGGGAGGCCTTTATCTGTAGGAAAACCTGGAAAACATGTTAAAAGTTATGTTCTCCTTCACATTTTCCAAAACCATCCAGTGGGCCAGATTGGGGTCTTCACCAGGCCAATTCTGGCTCCTGAGCCTTAAGTTTGACACCCCCTATCATAAAGGAACCACTCATGAAAACCTGCAGCTTGGCGATGCTGAGCATTTTTGACTGACATGCCCAAGAATGCACTCGTATAAGAGGAACAAACTATAAAAGAATAGATGAAAAATAATGACATCAAGATTGCAACGAAAACAAGTTTCTAACTGAGCTTTGGGATTGTGATGCACAAGTCAAATCAACCCTTTATTCACATCATTTATGACAATAATCATACTAATTCATATGCCTGTTTGGTGCATTTGTTGGCATCAGCGATGCATAATATCTCCTCGTATTATCAATAGATTCCTATGGGTCGCACAACCATTTTTTCTTTCGAATAAAACAGCTGCCTGTATAATTTGACCAAATTACATTGGTAGCACAAACGAAAAACTCACTTTTGTTTCCTTGAAAGTGTGTGTGTGTGTGTGTGTGTGCCCCCAGCGGCAGGGAAAGCTGCATGTTCCAACCCAGGTAATAACCTACATTGAGGAAGTCAGCGGAGGCGGCAGCCCGCATTAGTAAGCACACACCGGAGCAACATAATGAAGCGTCTGGAGTTTTGTATTCTATTTGTGAACAGAACATGCCTATTGTAGGTGAATGACAAAATTAATAGGCAGAAGCAACTCCCAACTGAGACCCAGCGAATAATGAGGTGTAAATCAGTCTTCAGTCAGTCAGCAAGCTGTGAGAATGTGTGGAGGCAGGAGAAAACAGTCCCATGCACAACACACACATACGCAGCCTGCACACACGTATACACAGACACACACACACATGGCCTGCATATTGTTTTCGGGTTTCTGTTTCAACAGCATATAAATGCCGAAAGAGTTGTTATCCATGCATATGGTTGATATTTCCGGTTCAGATTGCAGAATGCACTGGGGTCAAACGAAGGGTACATCCTAGGCTGCAAATAAGTTCTTAGCGATTCCTCCCTAACCTGATTTTTTTTTTCTTTTAATGAATTCCTAAAGAACGCCAGAATACAAATGCAGAACATGTCAGCTTCACTTTTTGAACCCAGAGCTCTCTTTCGTTGAGGCGACCATCTTATGCATCAAGTGCGCAATGTGGTTAGAAATTCAGTACCGTAAAACCGTAAAACCACATGTGCTTTGTGTGTATGCGAGGCTTACTTTTTCTGCAAGATCCTTGGATGCAAAAATCTCCTGTTGGCAGAAAAGAAGAAAAGAAAGAAAAGGAAAGAAAACGTCAGGCACTTTTGTTTTCTTCAATTCATATTTGAGCATGACCATGACCACCATCATTTTCACCTTAATGACTTGATTAGCTAATATTCGGCCATATTGACTCAAACAGATTAGCATTTTGGTGCTGGTGTGATAACACTCTTACCAGAGTCTGATTTCCTTCTCAAATTTGTTTAATCTACATTATTATTATGGTTTGTTTCTAGTTCCTTTTAATTCCTGTGCTTTGTTCCTATAAGTAACCAAATGCCCTCAAAAATCACAGGGCTCTACATCACATGACATTTTTTTCTTTTTAGGGGTGGCATAGAGGAGCTTCTGTTTTCCTATTGCTTGTCCGGCGCATCCCCGTAAATTTTTGTTACCATTACAATTCGTTGCATCAGAAGAAGAACAAAGGAAGATGAAATAAGGGCCATCTTGGTTGCACACAAGGGTCATTATCCTTTATTCTTCATGTTTGGTTTTCATGAAAAAGAAAAAGAGATGAAAGAAGATAAGTAAAGTGAGAGAGAAAGCAAACGCTGTAACTCTGGAGCCCTGGGGTAAGTAAAGAGATGGACCCTGCTGTGCACAGTATAAAAAAAAAGTCAGACAAAATAAATAAATAAGTAAAAACGGCCAACAACAAGAGGGATAGCGGAAGCACCGAACGCTGAGCGGAAACAACCTGTTCCAAGATGGAAAGTTGGGAAGTGAACAATAAGAAAGCATGTCAGTAAAGGGAAGAGGGGAGAAGTTGTTTTTACTGCTGGTGTTAGACCTCATCATAAAAAGTCCAAGAGAAACACGATGGGGCCCTGGAAACGAAACACAAAGGACTATTGAGTCTATTGAGGACTAGACGACCTTTTGGGGGTGCTGGGTTGAAAGCAAGAAAAAGAGGTTTCCAGTGGTCAGACATAAGAAACACTGAGGGTGAGATTTGTTATACTTCAGAAAGGCAGTACCTGCTGTGACCGCATGCCTGTGTGGGTTCACTCCAGGTACTCTGGCTTCCTTTCACAGTCCAAATATATGCATTATACTGAAGGTTAAGTGGTGATTTTACATTTGGCGTAGGTGTGAATGTGAGTGTGAATGGTCGCTCTTTCTTAGCCCCGACAGACTGGCAACCTGTCTAGCATATCACCAGGGTAAGGGGAGGTTATGCAACTGAGATTTCAGGATATGATAAAGGACATAATCAGGATATAATAAAGAAAAAAATGAACTGGTCATTACAAGATCTGAAAGGTGGGTAAATACAAAACTAAATGACATATTACACCATGTCATTATTATTTTATGAAAATAAACAATAATCTACAATAATGTTATAGCAACAAGCAACAATTGCTGGGCACCAGTCTTTAAAGGGTTATAAGCAAACTTCCAAACAATTTGACATCCATGATTCTAAAGTGAGAGAGCATTCCCAAGTGAAAAAAATTCCCATCTTCCAAGGAGTGATCATCACACTAACTTCACCCCAAAGTCAGGCATTGCTCAACGAAGCTCCAAAATCCAAAGAGCTACAGTCCACAGGCCTCAGTTAGCATGCGTAATGTTAAAGTTCGAAAAAGACTTAACAAGTATGGCTTGTTTGGAAGGGTTGGAAGGAACAGCATGTCTCTTACAGGAGCGTATCAACATGGCTTAGGTTGCAAAGTTGCATCTAAAACAACCACAAGACCATTGGAATAATGTCCTTTGGATAGATGAGAACAAAGTGGACATGTTTGGCCATAATGCAAAGTACTTTGTTTGGTGAAAGTCAAACATCAGTACTAACACCTCTTACCAACTGTCAAGCATGGTGATGGAGGCGTGACAATTTGGGCTCTAGACACCTTACAGTCAGTGAGTCAGCTAAAGCTTTGCTGAAATTAGAAACTACACAATGATCCCAAGCACAGCAGCTAATCTACAACAGAATGGCTGAAAAAGAAAAGAATCAAGGTGTTGCAATGGTCCAGTCAAAGTCTAGACTTCAACTTGATTGAAATGTTGTGGTGAGATGTTAAGAGAGCTGTACATAAAAAA